GCGATCTGCAGCAGAGGAGCTGGGCTCCAGCAAGTGTGCTAGACTATCTCGCTGGCGGATGCTTCCCGGATTAATGGAAATGAGAAGAGAAAGGCACAAACGCAAAGTTGAGTGAGGGAGCGAACTTGCGACAAGTCAGCTCTTCAATAAATACCCATCTGCGCGTTCTAACCTCACGTTAATTGCAAGGTAAATTATCCTTTTTTCAGTGAGATTGCCCGCACGGACACATACCTGAATTACCTCACCTTGACTGTGTGTAATTCTGCTGTACCAGCTAACCCACTGTAAATTGTCACCCTGTCGCACCTCGGAGCACCTATACTTTGAATCACTTTGGCACTTTAAAGCTCAAACTGTGATGTCATGCTGGAAACTAAGCCTTTCTCCAGGCTCGGTCTTTCAAGCAATGCTGGTTTTTTATTCAGCCCTACGGAAAAGCGCTGAATCTGCCCCTGCTTCCGCTGCTGTGTTGCTCGGGTTATTTCAAACGCTCCCCTGGCAGCTGCAAAACTGATAGGAAGCAGCAAGACTTCCCCTGTGGATTATCAGGAACGCTACTGAGGCATTGCCTAATGCATCTGATATCTAAGCCTGGATAGCACAAGCTGTACAGCCAAGCAAAAAAGATCGGTGCCTGTTGCTGGCATTCAGCTAGGGCACCTTGGTGAAGAGGGGGGCGATGCGCTAACTTCCATTATGGAGCCAGGGGCCGAGATGGATTCTCTCGCTGTCATTGTCCTAAGCACATTATCCCTGAAAGAAAGAGGGTTTCTCTGAATCTGCAATTTTTCTAGGCTTCAGTGTTATTGAAATGAAACTGCTTCAAGGATATCTACATTCTTTACCACCGTACGGATTCTCATCTCATGTAAATTATTTGGCCACTTTTCATTTTAATCCTCTACTGTCATTTTCTACAAAAAAGATCATTTGGTTTCTTCATTGAAGGTATTCAGCTGACAGCTGCCCTTTGTCTAGAAAGCACTGTGCCTCGGTAGGATTTACTTGTGCCTGCTATTTTTCTTTTCAGTTCATCGTGCTTCGTATTTTTCATCTGTAGTTTTCAGGAACTTTTAAGATTGTGAACAGCCTGTGGTTTGTAGCTGTGAAGAGGAATTCAGACATCCTAACTTCTCTCCCTGTCCCAAAGAGTGTACCTGGAAGGAAACTGGAGGCAGATTCATTCGGTTCCCATTTGTAAGAGGGAATGCGATCTCACGAACCCCAAAAATTCATAGTGCGTTCACAGCTTGGACCTGGCCAAACGTTTGCTGAAGCCTTTTAAACTATTTGCTTTGGTTTCCCTATCTTGAAAACTCTGTTATTCTTACCCACTTTCCAGAAATGTTGGGAGCCTTTGAACGTGTTTTGTGTCATGATATCACCTACAAGTCCTGTTAAGACCTCAAAATAAGTGAAGGGAGGAAAGCATGATATGTTAGTAGAGAGTGTATAGAGAGCTTGGAAGCGGAGGATGAGAATCAGCTCTTACAGCTGAGGTCGCATGATGTTTTTGGCCACTTATAACCAAAAAAGTGAGCAGGTAGGAGGAGAGAAAATTCTGAGAGTATTGGGCCAACTACAGAACTGAATTTACCTGTTAGGGTTGTTCCCTCCCAGCTTCCCTCTGGTACCCACTTAGCTTTGTGGTCTGCCAGGAAAATGTCAGGAGAGCTACCAGGAGAGCTGCCTGAAAACTTCTCGAATTTTTAGTATTTTTTTATAAAACAGGGTTTCAGAAATTGTCTAAGATGAAAACAGTTCCGGGTTTTCAAGCGGAGATCCGTTTCCTTTTAGGAACTTGCAGACATTTGCATTAAAAGATGCGCAGTCAGTCTTTGAATTTAAAGGAAATATCCCAAAATAATGAAAATGAATTGCGATCCAATCAAATGAAAATGTTTATAATTTATTGAATTGTAAAGTGTGTTAAGACATGAATTACTGGTGTAGTTGAGAATTTGCTCGAATCACAAAAATGATTGCAATACACAACAAAAATTTCCTCCTTTGCCCTGAGAGGTGTCTCATTTATTGTCCTGCTCTGCAGAAGTTAGTGCTGTCGCGGGGAATTCTCCCGTTATCACACAGAACTGTAATCTTGAGCCTAAATTTTGTTGCTATTAATAAATGTGACCTGTTTTAGTGCTTGAGCCCGTGAAAGCATGTGGCAATCAGTGGCTTGTTAACAGCATCGTGTTTAGCTGCATGCCAAGAGAAGGGGCACTAGTGGCTCTTGCATCGTCTTTTCTTGATTAATTGGTGTCTCACTTTCTTGCATCAGTGTGAGAAGTGGCAGCTCAGATACAGAACTTTTCTTGCTTTTTACAACTTCTATTGAAGAAAGGACAGAAGTAGGCATCATCTAACAGCGTGGTGGCCATAGATGATCTAGACCCATAATGGAGCATGGTATCAGGGTTTCACCTTCCGGTTTTAGTACCTCGTGGTGTAGATCTCTCAGTTTTTCTAATTCTGTGGGGTTTGTATTGTGGTGTTTGTTCCAGACTTTGGACAAGTATCTGAACAAAACAGATAATGTTCAGGAAAGGCCATCCATAACATAGCTGTTATGGCTAGCAGAATTTACTGAGTTAATTTTTGCACACATAGCGATCACTTGGATTCCTGGCTAGGACTCTTACTTGATAGAGTCATATAAATAATTGTACAGTGACTTTCAACTGTAATGTCTTGAATCTCCTTTATCTGAAGAAGGTAGAAAGAAGTTGTTCTTGGCTCTGTGCAGTGCGTGGAGTTCCCTATTTTGCTACTAGAAAGCAAATGCTGTTAGTAGAAGGAGCATTTTCTAGTCTGTTTTCTAAACTTTCCAGTCTCGAAAAAAGCTTTATACAAAACACAACTCCTTTAAACAGAAACGTGCAAGTTAAGTTAGGTACATACATCACGTTTAATGGATATTGTAACAGAAGGAATGATACCTTTGAAAGAGGGAAGAATATACTTCAAAAAAAAATCATGCCCAGAGACTGGGGATACTGCCGAGAAAGAAAGAAATCTCTTGCTGAAAATTCAGGGAGTGTTCCTGCTGGTGGCAAAGCCAGAGTTGAAACTATTGTCTATTTGAAGTTTCCGGGAAAGTAAATACTACCAGGTGTCCTCCTGTCCTAATGCAATGGCAAAATCTCAGCTGTTGCTCTGAGTAGGTTCAATCCTGGTGGGAACCGCAGTTATGGTCAGTCCCTCTGGGCTTACTCCCTAAGAGCAACTCTGAGAGGTCTGGGGGATGAAATAAGTGGATGTTTGTGTGTAAATGTGATTGCCTCCAGTGCCCAGATGGGTAGTACAGAGGCAGCCTGTCCTTCATTTGGCGAAGACAGAGCTGTTTCTGTGGTTTCATTTGCTCTCTACGCTAGCAAATCAAATGGAAGTACATTAACAGTGCGCCTAGCTGTGCTAATGAGCGATTTCTCACTGTCAATGAGTAGTAACCTCGAAACAGGACTGCACTTGTGGACATAGCTGCCTCTGCAAATAACAGTATAAGCAAGGGGATGAAGTACATGTATGTAAAACTCAAACTGAATGTTCAAAATTTGTATTTGCAGTGAGCTGATTTAAATTGGAAGTGAAATGGTGGGAGGTGCATTAGCAGCACTTCTTCAAAAGCAGGTTGCTATACGGCCCAGACTCGGTGCTTTCTTAGCAGGAAAGGGGCCGACCCACCAGAAGGGAAGTATGGCCATGGAAAATAAGGTTCTAACTCCCTTAAACTAATGCAGGTCGACTTTCGTAGCTGGTGTGGGTGTGAGAAAGAGAGAAAGGAGGAGAAATAACTAAGCGCTCCATCTCTGTGAGCCTGCTACTAAATGGTCTATAATTAGAGCAAAATGTATTATTTTCAAATATGCAGCAACTGTCCAAGAACCCGTTCCTGGTCAAAGTTGATCAAAGAATTCTTTGCATTCCATATTATAGACAAGCTGCAGAAAAATATAGTATTCTCTGCTTATCGGATGCTTATCAGAGTCCCTTGACGTAAACAGGGCTCATTTTGTTGTTTTCGATGCAGATCTGATTAAGATCTGTAGAATATAAATCAGTTTATTAAAACTTGCGAAGCGCTTAAATGAAGTAGAAGAGAAAATAGTTTAACTTTTATAGGATGTTTACTGCATATTAAGTACAAAAAAATTGCAATTATTTGGGAAAATGTTATTAAAATATATGCTATTTATATCTATACTATTTATATCTATACTATCTATACTTAGAGTAAGTTGTGTGGTAATCTAAAACTTTTAAATTGTGGGACTTTTTTTTTAAAGAAATACAGTAAGATTTCTAGAATCAGTCTAGTATTACTGTGTAATTTTGTTTGTACAATCCTCATACCGTGTCTGTCCAAGTCCACAGTACTTGTGTATTTGTGTGTAATGTATATGTGCATATGTATAAAAATTCTTGCACAACTTTCTGTCAAAAGGTTGTTTTGGAGTCAACTTGCAGTTTGGTATAGTGAATGTTAGAGGAAGAAAACCTCATTTAACCCATGAATCAAAATGAGTATTGAAGAGCTCCTTCCTTTGTAGAATACTGCCTAAGCAAGGGGTCTTTCAGGGGGAAAAAAAAAAAAGATTATTAAATTAATTAAAAATGCTGAGGCATGGCTTGTGATGTCTTCTAACATGATGCTTCACTTGACAGTCGTAACTCTGATATTCATAGCGTTGCCCACGCTCTCACATCTCCTAGTATGATATTCCAGATGTCCAGGTGACACTGCAAATGCTGAGGTACCATTCAGTTATCTGAGGCATTTAGGAAGATTTTAAAGGATAACTATGTGGATATGAGTGCACACAGATACCACCTTGTGCATATCCCGTTTAATATAAAATTTGTCGTGTCTGTGTTATCTCTGTAAGAGTGATGCATAAACTACCAACTGACACCTTTTTGTAAAGCTGCTTGGGAGCGTTCATGCTCTGATTTCTGAAAAAAACTTCTTTTTTTTTTTTTTTTCCTCCTTGCAGTTACTTCAATGAGAATCAATATCCCGACGAGGCAAAGAGAGAAGAAATTGCAAATGCCTGTAATGCAGTTATACAAAAGCCAGGTGAGGAGCTGATCATGATGTCCTTTCCAAAGGCGGCTGCAATTAGATTTCAACATCTCCTGCTAAATTCAGCAAATCTCATTTTATGGCTATTACTAGCAACTTAATGCTCTCAACTAGTAGTAAGTTTTTTGGTTTTTTTTTTGAGCATGCTGTGACTCATGTCATTCAGAGCTGCCATACTTGGATGAACACGAAAGTCAATGCAATTTTAAAATTTGAATTCCCACCAGTTGGGATACGAAGTACAAGTTGTGCATCTGAACATTTCATTTATACAGGTTTGTAAGTGGTATTGCTAAGAAAATAAGCAAGTTCTGAAGGTTTTTGTTCTTTAAGGTCAGTTATTTCCACGTACTTCCATAACCGGTTAGTACTGATCTGAGAATTTCATTACATTCTGCAAAAGTGCGTTTTACCGATTCCATTTTACAGATGGGAAATCTCAGGTTCAGAGACTGAGCCTTGCTGGAGATGATACAGCAGGTCCTCAGCCGAGTAAGGAGCCCAGCTTTCCTGTGTTTCTGTTTGCTTTGTAACTTCTGGACGGGAGGCCTCACTTTAGAATCCGTCTTAACAGAGGACCTTGTATTTTTGTCAGTAAATTGCGTTTTCCCTGCTCCTGGAGAAGTCGTACTTGAGAGAGGAACATGAATACTCAGTATAGTATTCATGAGCCCAGATTAGTGGTCATGCCTGCCTTTACTTAGTTTAACTAATCAAATATTTGCACAGTTTCCAGAACTCATATTTTGAATTATTTAGATTATATATTGCTAGAATAAAAATTAATGTAAATGAAAGCTAAGGCATGACTCCTGAACACTGGGACATTCACAGGATAGAACAGAATTTCTGTTCCGAAGGCTGGAAGTGACCCCTGGAGGTCGCCTGCTCAAGCAGTACCAGCTTAGATCAAGTTGCTTAGGGCTTTGAGTAGTTCAGTTTTGAATATCTCCAAAAATGGAGATTCTTCCACCTTTCTGGGCCCCTGTTCCAATGTTGAGCACTCTCCTAGTGAAATAGCTTTTCCTAATAGCTAGTCAGAGTTTCCCTTGTTACAACTTTTGTCTGTTGCCCCTTGCCTTTCCACTGTGCAAGCAGAATGACCTAGTGGGTAGAGCACCGAGGAGGATTTTATTCCTGGCTATGCCTCTGGTTGGTTTAGCAACTTTGAACAAGCTGCTTAAATGCGTGTCTCTGAATCGATAAAATATTTTGAGTAGCACTGATGCAAAGCATTAGGAAATAGTCTAGGTATCTATTTCCAGATTTTTCTTTCTTTCAGTCATTCCAACTCTCCTTACTTATTTAAGTTTGCAGGCTTTGCGTGTGTTGCCTGCTATTGCAGTTAGGTGAACATTTCGTATGCTGAACAAATTATTCTCGGATAAGCAGCTTGAATGGGGCAGGTCTCATCCCCACGTAGCCCACAGACGACTAAGGATGCAGCTCCACTGAACGTTTTACCTAGAGTCAAGGCCAGCTGAAGACGTTTCCATGAGGTCCCAGCAATGCTGAATCCCTCCTATCTTCCCTGTTTTACGCTGATGATGAGGAAACGGGATTGTTGGCTGGTGGTTGTTCAGATGGCTTTTTTTTCCCGGTTTAATAGTTATATGCCAGTGGTCTGGTTTCCATCATCCCCCTCACCTTCCCAAAAGACAGAAATTGTACTGGCCCAGTTGTGAGGGTGGGTTTACTGATGTGGGAGCGTGATAGCAGCTGGGGGTGGGAGAGGAAGGAAAGCAGACTGAGGGGGGACAACATTCCTTGTTTCCTTTTTTCTGCTGA